TGCATAAATAGATCGTTGATCCATTTTAATTTTAGTTTAGTACATGGTAAGAGACATGGGTTTAGATTCAGTCTTCTGCATGGGGAGAGCCAGTTTTTCCAGGACCTTTTGTTAAGAGGCTGTCTTTCAGCATGTTTTTGGCCCCTTTAGGAGAGATTAGATGGCTGAATGTGCCTGGAATTGTTTCTGCATTCTCTAATTCTGTTCCATTGACCCACATGTCTGTTGCCAGTACCATGCAGTTCTTATCAGGGTAGCTTTGTAATATAAACAAATCTAGGATTGTGATGTCTTCTGCTTTGATCTCATTACCCAGGATTGCTTTTGCTATTCTGGGTCTCTTCTGCTCCATATGAATTTTTAGGATTGTTTTCTCTAGTTCTTTGAGGAATGCTGTTGGTGTTTTTAATTGGAATTGCATTAAATCTGAGTATCTGTTTTGGGAGTATGGCCATTTTGATAAAATTAGTTCCACCTGTCTGGGAACACAGCATTTTCAGATGGCCTCTTCTTCGATCTCCTTTTTCAGAGTGCTGTTATAGAAGGCTTTCACTTCCTTTGTTAAATTAATTCCTATGTATTTAACTTATCTGGCAACTATTGTGAATTTTATTGTTTTCCTAATTTCTTTCTTAGTGGTTCATCATTAGTGTACAAGAACACTTGATTTTTGTGTGTTGATGTTGTATCCTGCTACACTACTAAATTTGGTTATTCTACGAGGCTTTTGATAGAAATTTTTGTGTCTTCTATGTAAAGAATCTTGTTGTCTTCTAATAAGGATGATATGACTTCTTCCTCTACATATCCCTTTTGATTTTTTTTCTCTTGCCTGATTGCTCTGGCTAATGTTTCAAACACTGTATTGAACAGGAGTGCCATTAGTGGATGTCCTTGTCTTCCTTCTGATCCTACAAGAAGAGCTTTCAGTTTTTTCCCATTAAATATGTTGGCAGTAGGTTTGTCTTAAACAGCTTTTATAAGATTGAGATAAGGTTCTGCTATACCTATTTTCTTCAGAGTTCTTTTTTAATCATGAATGGATGTTGGATTTTGTCAAAGACTTTTTGTTTATGGAGATAAACATGATTTTTGTCTTTGTTTCTGTTTGTGTGATGTATATATTGTTTTGTGTATGTTGGACCATCCTTACATCCCTGTGATAAAGCCTACTTGATCATGATTTATAATCTTTTTGGTGATTTGTTGCATTCTCTTTGCCAGTATCTTATTGAGGATTTTTGTATCTATATTCATTAAAAAGATTGACCTGTAGTTTTCTTTTTTAGTTGAATTCTTGTCTGGTTTTGGAATCAAGGTAATGCTAGCTTCCAGGAATGAGTTTGGCAATATGTCTTCTCTTTCAGTTTCATTAAAGAGTTTGAAGAGTATTGGCATTAAAACTTCCCTGCGGTTTTTGTAGAATTCAGTGATGAATCCATCAAGTCTTGGGATTTTGGGCAATCCATCAGGATTTTTTTACTTGGTAGGTTTTTTAAAATTCCTGCCTCAATTTCATTGCCCATTGTTGGATATTCACCTTTTTTTTTAATATCTTCCTGATTCGGCTTTGATAATTCAGATTCAAGGAATGAATCCATTTCTTTTGGATTCTCCAATTTATTGGTATACAGGTTTTTGAAGTAGTTACTAATAATCAGTGTTTCAACTGTGTCACGACCTTGCCTTTTTCATTTCTAATTACACTGATAGAGGTCTTTTCTTTCCTTGTTTTTGTAAGATTGGCTAAAAGTTTGTTTATTCTTTCGAAGAAGCAGCTCTTCAGTTCCTTGATTCTTTGTATTTTTTGTCTTAATTTCATTAATTTCATTTATTTCTGCTCTGATCTTTATAATTTCCTTATTTGTACTAGCTTTGGATTTGTATTGTTCTTGTTTACTTAGCACATTGTGATGCATCATTAAGTTATTTATTTGGGCTTATTCTGTTTTTCTGATGAGGGCATTCACAATTATAAACTTCTTTCTTTGGACTCCTTTCATTGTGATCAATAGGTTGTGGTATGTGTATGTTAAATTTTTTCCCCTATCTGGAATGTTTGCTATGATTTCTGTAAGTTTTTAATGCCCTGATGCCATCTTCTGATCTTTTATTAATTTCAGTTCATCTTAGGTTAGTCTTCTTTGCATCATCTAACAGCTGTTGGATCCATTTTCCATGATCTCTTGTTGTTTTCAGTGTATCTCTTATTGGGCACCTGCATCAGCCCTATCTTCTAAGTACTGACACTGTCTCCTCACAGTGGTCACTTCTGCTGCCATATTTTCAGTAGAATTTTTTTATCTCCTGGATTTCTCCTTTTCATGGACTCTAATTCTATGCTAAACTGGTCATTCATGTTTTATATTATTTTGTTAAGTCCATTATCGCTTCAATTATATCTTTGAGCTCACTGAACACCTTATTGATCTGTGGGGTTTTTTTTTTATTTGTTGGTTGGGGTTTTTTTTGGGGGGGGAAGGGGTTGTTTTTTGAGACAGGGTCTTCCTTTGTAGTTCAGGTTGGCCCTGAACTGACTATGTAGCCCAGGCTAGCCTCGAACTCATGGCTATCCTCCTGTCTCTGCCTCCTGAGTGCTGGGATTACAGGCATGTGTCACCACGCCAAGCTTGTCTCCTCTTCTATCACTTTGTATAATTCAGGTATTGGCTTTTGATTTCCTCCTAATCGGTGCCCCATGTATCTGCTTTGTGACAGTTGTAAGTTTTTGCATACATTTTGTTGCCTTGTTTTCTTGTGTTTCTTTTTCTTTTTTTCTTTTTCTTGTGGGTTGACAGTCAATAAGAATGGAAAGACTTGGTTGCTAGTATGGCGATCTCTTTATTTAATGTCTACTTTCTAGTGATGCACTGTAGGCATGCCTAAATATAGGCCTTTGCCTCTCCTAAGATTCAACTACTTCTATTAATTTGAGGAGGGGAGGTGCACTGTAACTGGCCCTGCACCTAGTTTTCCAGAAACAAACTGTAATAATGTTGATGACATAAAAAATCAGATATTGGCATACAGTAAAAACCAGTTAATAGCAATAACTATGCCACCATTGGCAATAGCAAAGAAATCAGCAATGATAATAGAGTCAAAGACAAACTGGATATTAACATACCATAAGAACCAATAAAAGCTACCACTGTTGTACCACCCTTTACAATAGAAGAGACCTACAATAATCGTACAGATGCAAGGACAGACCAAATATTGACATACAGTAGGTACCCACTAAATGCAATAATTATACCACCATTAATAAAAAAAATTAACAGTAATAGCATACAATCAACTAAGTAAAGGTTAATAGAGCTTAGTATTAATACTAATGCAAAGGAGGTAGTGAGGAAGGAGGAAATTAAAGAAGTAAAATTTGAAAAAGAAAAGGAAGTTGAGAAAGAAGAGAGACATAAGATAAAGGATTCAATTAATGAGTGAAAGAAAATAGAATTAGATAAAAGTAATGGTAAAGAACAAAAAAGAAAAGAAAAAGTAAATAAATACAGAAAAATTTTAGAAAAGAAAACCCCAAGCCCCAAAAAACAATGAAGAAAAAGAGATACAAGTCAAAAAAACTTCTGTGTGTTTGAATGAGTGGTTTCTTTCTAGGGTCTACATTAATGGAATCTACCCAATATTTGGGGAGGGGAGTCATGAGCCACTACCAAATCCTATTTTGTTTTCATACTCATTTTTGTGTGTGAATGCTGAGTCCTGTCTTGACTTTCCTTCTAGGTGTGGTTAGTCAATGATGTCTGCCCTAGGTCCTCATTCACACCACCTACTCCCAGTTGGAGCTCGCTTTGTGTGCCCCAAGTAACTTATTTTTCCACCTAGCTCTATGGCCTGTGAAGTGACCCCTGCTCCAGAGGCCCTTCTGTCTGTACACCCCAGTATGTGGCAACCATTCACATTGAGGCATATCCCTGATCACATCAGCAGATGGGGAAAGCAAACAGACCGCTGAACTTTATGTTGGATATAGTCAGTGATGCAGGGTGATCAAGCAGTACATTAGACTTAATGCTAGCACTTTCAAATCCAGCCCTCTCCAAAGCCCACATGCAACTATCCTGGCTTCTTACCACAGAGGGCAAAACTGCTTCCTTCCAGGTGTGAGCTTAAACTTAAGGGGTCTATGCCTAGCCCATGCCTTCTCTCTATCTCTTGTGGTTGTTTCTCACCCAGTTACTGTGATAGAGTGAAGTATAGTTGTTCTGTGGCTCCTGATTCTCAGGGTAGCTCAACCTTAAACAACACCTTCCCCAAGTAGTTTCTTGTTCATCACTGAAATATGGTAGGCAGTGCAATGTATTTCTTCTCCAACTCTAGCCTGCTATTTGGGAGGAGTTATATTCTACATAAAAGCCCACACTGTTTTTGCAGTTTATAGTAGCCATGGACTTTTCTTTAGGCTAAGCACTGTTGGCCCAGTCCTTTGGCTTACCTTTATTGGCAGAGACAGGTTTCCCTCTCCATAGGAGCTAAGGTTGGTGTTCCAGTCTGTTTCCTTCTTTTCTCTGCATTGTGTTCAGTTTCTCTGTAATGTCTAGTTTTCCTGTCAGCTCTTTCTTGATTCCTGGAGATCCTATTCTTTTCCATACTAAGTTGTTCCAGGTATCTGAATTCCAGGTCCAGGTCAGGCTATATTTTGCTACCAATATTTTTAATCTCCACAAGGTCAACAATTTATTTCTCTGTAGAAGAATCCTTTCTTGGTACTTCTCTGTTCTCTTAACAGCTATCAAGGTTTCAAGAAATGCTGATCTAATTCACCATTCCTCAGTGAAACCTTGGAAGGGACAAGCCCCTTCTGAGACCACGTCATCCTGGAAAAGCCAACCTCTGGGATACATGAAATTCTGATTTTCATTAAGTAAATACCACACCATCTGGCCTACTCTCCAACTGAGGGCTGCATGCACTTTGGGTATTCTTCTCTTAATCAGAACTTTTATTATAATTACACTTCTGCTCATTTGTGCTTCCAGGGGATATGACCTCAACTTGGATGCCTATAAGAGGCCTTATATAAATCTCATTGTAAGTTCATTTCCTGTTCCCCTTCTTTGACTATGTTTTATCTTTTGCTTCTGATGGACTTGGTGGAAAAGGTTATTAACCATTGCAGTTTTTCTTCTTTTAATCTTTTATTTGGACTATGCATAATAAATGCTCTCCTAAACTTTATTTCTTCCCATTTCTATCCGCTTCCAGATGATCCTATGTCCTGATACAGCTTTAGGACCCCTTGACTGATCCTCCAGGCCTGAAAGTCAGCAAGCACAAGGACACTAACTCCCTCTCCATAACACCCCCTCTCAGCAAATAGCCAGAGTGACAGGATGACCTAAATAATTTTAGGGTCCCACCTTTTGAGGAGAAAAATGTTAGGCAGAAAGTCATTAGCAGGCCTGGAGTCAGACTGCTGGGGATTATTTTAAAACCAAAGATGTGATTTTTTTTTTTTTGCTTTTGCTTTCCTAATCATTAGCTATAGTTAAAATCCACACAAGCTTATTGTTTGAACAGCTCAAGAGAATATAACATCTCTGAGCGTGCTGATAAGGTCTAGGGCCCATAAAAGTCTAGATCATGGGTCAGAGCGTAGAAAAACATCAAGGTCCCAAAACAAACCAAATGGAAACATTTACCTAAGGACTAAACAGGGATCTACTTCCCTCTAAAGTAGGTAAACACAACCCATTTTATTTGTAAAAGAATATTGACTTCAGAGGAAGAAAAGGTTATTTCTTGAAAAGACCCAGTTAGTTATATAATTATAACATGAGACCTCATTCAGTGCAGCTGCCATTTTGGTGCCTACACCTTCGTCCTTGAAGCCAAATTCTCTCTCTGGCCCTCTGGAAATCTATTTTCCAATAAACTCTATCTATACACTATAGGACAGCCACATGTGTCTGAATCTTTTGTCAAATACACAAAGAATCAAGGTGTGTTGCCAGTTCCTTGCGGTGTTTGGACCTCACTGTGTTAGGATGTAGCTTCCGGTAATAATATCAAAGGAAAATACATATGCCCTTAAAATTTGGAGTAACATTGGGAGGATAGGATGCCAGTTAAGCCTCTGGGTTATGAAGGAGATGTGGAAGCCACATTGGCCTGGTCCCTGAGCTGAGGACATTGCTAAAGCATTTGTCTTCAAGGAGAGAACAAACCAGACATGAAAGCAATGGCAGAACACAAGGATTTAAAGGTCAGGTGGATAATTAGGTTTTCTTTTTTTTTTTGGTACGGGGGATCAAACTTGGGACTTTGCACTTGGAAGGCAGGCAATGGAACTACTGAGCTAAATCCCCGGCTAGGTTTTATTTTCTTAGGATTGGAATTTAGTGCTTTAAGATACCATGGAATTCTGTTCCTTGTCCCTTCTCTCTTTGAGGACTATTCATCTGACCCTTGAATTGCATGGTAGTTTCATGTCTAAACTTCTAGAAGATGGACCTTTTGTACATTTACAGTTGTTCAAGTGAATTATTCCAAACCAAAAATTAGGACTCAGAATCTGTTAGGCATGAATGTGTTTCCAGGGACAACAAAACAATATTTGACAGTCCTTGGAAAGTTCCTCTAAATGTCATTAGAAATTAAATGTTGAATAGATAGATTCATGGATGAAAAGATTGTAAATGAAACTCGGTAGACAAACAATGTTAGCTCCCAGAAACTAATCCTTCTAGAATTACAAGGTCAAAAACTATGAAGGCAAATGCAACATACAGAGAAGGAGGAAGTCAGTTTCTATAGTTGTGTAATACCCCAAAAGATTTGGAAGAGGGCTGGGGATTTAGCTCAGTGGTTTCACTGCCTACTGCGCAAGCACAAGGACCCGAGTTCGATCCCCGGTATTAAAAAAAATTAAAGAATAAAATAAAACCTTTGTGAAAAGTTATAAATGTGCCTTAAAAATAAATAAATTTGAGCTAATTTTAGGGTCGGGATTTAGCTCAGTGGTTCCGCTGCCTGCCTTGCAAGTGCAAAGACCGGAGTTCGATCCCCAGTACCAAAAAATAACAACAACAAAGATTTTGAAGAAAAATAAGATACCATCAACTCCTACTTTGGGATCTGGTCCAGCAGTCTCCTCCATTTTCTCTTTAGACTATCAACTACTTTAGAGTTGGGGATGAACTTTCATAACTGGGGATACCTCTGTCTAAATCAGAAACAGGATGAATTACCTTTAATCTTAATCACACCTAGGAAGTGAAAAGATTGAAGACAGTACAGAGACAGAAGAGCCCTGTTGGCTCATTTTGATATTTTTGAAATACTAGGAGTCTATTCAGACCTCATATACTATATTCATGTATCAATTACCTCTGTAGTCTATGAAAAATAACATACATAGATTTTATCAGAGGGAAGACTTAAGCAAATAGACTTAAACATCTA